TTAACTCGGGTTACCTGTCAAGGTCACAAAACAAACTTAGACATGTTCCAGAGCTTCAACCCCGTCATGAGAATCTGCAGCAGGCAGGAAGTGTTTTTACACACGCTCATCAGCACGATGACCTCGACCTCCCACACTCGGAGGCATCAGGTGCTGCAGGCTCCTCTGACCTCTGACCTCTGACCTCACTCACGGTTCAACATGAATGTAACATAAACATCCATAAACCTTGAGCTGGACCCCCTGACAGACCCCTGAAACAAACAAAACACAGAAGCAACTGGTTGTCGTGGCAACGTGCACATCTTCTCACCGTTCTGTCTCCTGTGAGAAGAAAACTGGTCAAATTTAGAGTCATCTGCAGCAGGTAAGACATCGTTTGGTCGTGACCTCTCCACAGAACCACACTTCCAAACATCCTGCGGACGAGAAGCGAATCGTCTGAGCGTCGTCGAGGCAGGAAACGGTTTCATGAAGATTTCTACGGTAAAACGAGTCGAGAGGTTTTCAGCAAATAAGAAGCGTCTTCATCTGCTGCTGCCGGAGGGCCCGACTCCCCCAGGAGTGTGTGTGTGTGTGTGTGTGTGTGTGTGTGTGTGTGTGTGTGTGTGCGTGTGTGTGTGTGTGTGTGTCAGCTGGAGTGAGGCTGGTGTACAGGTGCGCCGCTGCCTAGCCAGCACTTCCTGGTAATTAATGACTCCTTCCTCCTCCTCCTCCTCCTCCTCCTCCTCCTCCTCTCGCGGCTGCGATGGTGGAAATTGATGACACGTGAACATTTGCTGTTTCAGTCACACGAGGACGACGGGTCGAGACACAGAACCGCTTGGAAAACACGGGTTCTCTTGAAGAGAGTCCTCCGTCCGTCACAGAGGAAACTTTTTCTTCGTCTGTTTCTAGACGTTAACGGGTTTCTCCTCCGTCTCCTCCTTCCTCCCACTCCTCCTGCTCTGCGTGTTGTATTTTTCTGTGCTCCTCTCGTTCTGTACGTGTCCGTGCATCCCTCCCTCCCTCCCTCCCTTCCTGCGTCTCTCTCCGGTAATGTCTTGGTTATCATGGACTCTGCGAGCATCCGTTCAACAAACACACCGAAAGAAAAGCTGAAAGGAGTGAGGAGCAACATGTCGCCCCCCCACCCCCCGCTGCCCAGAGCTTCAGTTTTATAACCAAGACCTCGTGATTCATTTTGACCCAAGGGCAGCGGGGGGGTTACAACACAGACTGCAGTTATACAACTCTGCTAACATGCTACAAGTTAGCAGAAGAAATGTACTAGCATGCTAAGTAGCAAAGTTAGCATACAACTGAGCTACAAAGCAAAACGCTTCAATAATTATACAAGTTGAAGAATAAAGTGTTTTTGAATATTTAATTAAAAGTTTAATAAGCGTCTATTCAGATGAACTACTGGTACATGCTAGCATACAGCTAGCATACATGGTAGCATATGAACAGACGAGAACGTCTTCAGGGCCAGACGCCTGTAATTATTCACCTGACGAGGGTTTTGAACTTAATTCCAGCCTGAACCTCAACGTGTCCCCCCCCCCCCACCCCCACCCCGCAAGTGTTGTATGAAAACGACGGCTATGCTCCGTGATGTGTTGTTACTTTATTGGTGTTTTGAGTTCCCATGGCGACGAAGCGTGAAACCAAAGACGCCATTTCTCTCACTGAAAACCACTTTCAGGACTCTTCACAGCCTCTAACAGACACACTGAGGTCACATGACC